AAAACATCCAGAATAGCCAAAGCTAACCTGAGCAAAAAAACGAAACTGGAGGAATCACATTACCAACTTCAAATTACAGAACAATAGTAACCAAAGCAGCATGATAGTGGCATGAAAACAGACACATAGACCAATGGAACAGAATAGACAACCCAGAAAGAAATTCACACACCTACAGTAAAGTTATTCTCAACAAAGCTGTTAAGCACATACACTAAAGAAAAGATACCTTAAATAAATGATGTTGGGAAAACTGGATATTCACATGCAAAAGAAAAAAACTAGGCCCCTATCTCTTGACATATATAAAAATCAAATTGAAGTGGATTAAAGACTTACATCTAAGACCTCAAACCATAAAACTACTACAAGAAACACTGGTGAAACTTTCCAGGACACTGGTCTGGGCAAAAATTTTTGGGGTAATATCCCAATACCCCTCAAGCACAGGCAACTAAAGCAAAAATGGACAAATGGGATCATGTTAAGTTGAAAAGTTCTGCACAGCAAATGAATCCATCAACAAAGTGAAGGCACAGTACAGAGAATGCAAGACTACCCATCTGACAAAGGATTAATAACTAGAAAATATAAGGAGCTTAAACAACTCCATAGGGAAAAAATCAAAAAATGGGCAAAAGATTTGAATAGACATTTCCCAAAAGAAGACTTATAAATGGAAAACAGTCATGTGAAAAGGTGCTCAACATCATGAATAATCAGAGAAATGCAAATCAAAACTACAATGAGATATCATCTTACCCCAGTTAAAATGGCTTATGTCCAAAAAACAGTCAGTAACAAATGCTGGCAAGGTTGTAGAGGAAAGGAAGTCCTGGAACACTGTTGGTGGAAATGTAAATTAGTACAGTTTGGGGGTTCCTCAAAAAACTAAAAATTAAGCTACCATATCATCCAGCAATCCCACTGCTAGGTATACATTCAAAAGAAGGAACAACTATACACTGAAGAGATATCTGCACAGCCATGTTTGTTGCAGCATTGCTCGCAATAGCCAAGATTTGGAAGCAAGCTAAGTATCCATCAACAGACGAATGCATACAGAAAATGTGATACTTTCACACAATGGAGTGCTCTTCAGCCATAAAAATAATGAGATCCTGTAATTTTCAAGAACTTGGATGGAATTGGAGATCATTATGTTAAGTGAAATAAGCTTGGCTCATTAAAACAAACATCACATGTTCTCACTTACTTGCAGGATCTAAAAAAACAATTGAATTCATAACCACAGAGCGTAGAGGATGTTTACCAGAGCCTGAGAAGTGTAGTGGGGTAGGGGTGAGGTGAAGATGTTTAAAGAGTACAAAAAATATAGTTAGAAAGAATGAATGGAACCTAATATTTGATAGCACAAAGGGGTGAACATAGTCAATAATAATTTAATTGTACTACTTAAAATTATTAAAAGTGTACAACTGGATTGTTTGTAATACAAATGATAAATGCTTGAGTAGATACCCCACTCTCCATATGATTATTATACATAGCATGTCTGTATCAAGGCATCTCATGTACCCTGTAACATATACTCCTACTATGTATCCACAAAAATTAAAATTAATAAAATATTTAACAAATAAGAAAAGCTGGATATACATTTTCTATGACTTTAGTGTTACAGAGGGAATTTTATATATACATGTGCAAGTGTGTATGTTCAAGAATATTCCAGCTGGGCGCAGTGGCTCATACCTATAATCACAGCACTTTGGGGAGCCTAGGCAGGTGGATCACCTGAGGCCAGGAGCTCAAGACCAGCCTGGACAACATGATGAGAACCTGCTTCTACTAAAAATGCAAAAATTAGCCAGGCACGGTGGTGTGCACCTGTCGTCCCAGCTACTTGAGAGGATGAGGCACGAGAGTTGCTTGAACTCTGGAGGTGGAGGTTGCAGTGAGCTGAGATCATGCCACTTCACTCCAGCCTGGGCGACAGAGTGAGACTTCATCTCAAAAAATAAAAAAAGAAAGAAAGTCGTTAATAACATTTCATAGGGTAAACCTGAAAATCCGGATATGTATTAACAGTAGAATGAATTGTTATCTTTAAACAGTAGCCTATATATAGCTTACAACCACCTACAATGAACTAGATGAATCTTATAAAGATGTTATTAACAAATGAAGCAAGACATAAAAGAATACAATGTAATTCCATTTAAATAAAGTTTGAAAACTTTATTTAAAACAAAATTACCTTAGGAGCTAACACATTTATAATAAAACTAGAAAATAGTTGTATAAGTTGTGATATTAGTTGGCTCTAGCAGGGTTGTCAGAAGTTGTCATATACACCTTTAGGCTTTTAGTTATGCTGAATGTGTGTACCTGGGTTGTTGCTTGTGCATTCATTTTGTAATTTATTTATATTAAATATTGCACATTTTATGTTTTTTGTACTCTTCAGTATGTGTCACATTTAATACTTTTGAAAAACAGAGAGAATGGGATGTAACTTACTAAAATATTGCTTTGAAAGGGAACAAAAGATTGTGCTGAAACTGACTTGAGGGGGGTTCGGAGATAGTTCAAGGGAGTTTTGAGTCACATTTAGAAAGGCCCTCTCCTCTATAGGTTTACAAAGAACATGACCTCGATTTCTTCAAATGAGTTTTGATATTTTTACATTTTATCTTTCTTTAATTTGGGTGTGATTCTTTTTTCTTATCTTACTGTATTGTGTGTGAGGTCTGGTGACAACTTGATCTTTTCCTTAGTCCCAACCTACTAAGAAGTCTATCTTTACCCTGTTTTATTCCTATAAAGTCTATTTTTTGGACTTTCTATTCTGTTAGCAATTTTTTTTTTTGAGACAGAATTTTGCTCTTGTTGCCCAGGCTGCAGTGCAATGGTGCAATCTTGTCTCACCACAACCTCTGCCTCCCAGGTTCAAGCGATTCTCCTGTTCCAGCTTCCCAAGTAGCTGGGATTTACAGGAATGTGCTACCATGCCCAGCTACTTTTGTATTTTTAGTAGAGATGGGGTTTCTTCGTGTTGGTCAGGCTGATCTCGAACTCCCAATCTCAGGTGATCTGCCTGCCTTGGCCTCCCAATGTGTTGGTGATCTTTATACACTAGAGTCATTACCGCATTTTCTCTACTTCATTTTGGAAATTTCTTTACCTACTTATTTTGTGCTGAATTCTTATACATTGTTTTGAAGCTATGCTTTTGATTTTAATTCTTTTAAAATAATTAAAATTGATTGTGGAGAGGCCTCATAATCATGGCAGAGGTGAAGGAGGAAAAAAGGCACATCTTACATGGTGGCAGGCAAGAGAGCATGTGCTGGGGAATTGCCCTTTATAAAACCATTAGATCTCATAAGATTTATTCACTATCATGAAAACAACACAGGAAAACCCACCCCCTATGACTCAATTACCTCTCACCAGGTTCCTCCCACATGTGGGGATTATGGGAGCTACAACTCAAGATGAGATTTGTGTGGGGACACAGTCAAATCATATCATTAAACAAGATAAGAAAGTACCACAAGATGATTATTGATGTGGGGTCTAAATTCAAAACACCTTCTGTGGTATTGTCCTTAATGTTTTTCATTTCCATGCCTTAATGATAATAATTTTAATAATGATAACACTAACATACATTAATAATATTACTTAAAACAATAATTGTCATAAAACAATACTTTATGTTTAATGTTTGTAAGGTTTTTATGAGCAACAGATGAATCACTACAGTGACCATAATAAAGTGACACATAATAAATTCTAAGTATCTCTTAGCTGGTACAAATAACTATTCATAATGTTAATTAATAAAGACATTACCTTAGTTTCCTATTGGTGCTGTAACAAATTATTACTAATTTAGTGGCTTAAAATAACAGAAGCTTATTACCTTACAATTGTGGAATTCAGAAGTCTGTGAGGCTTAAATCAAGATGTTAACAATGTTGCATTCCATCTTGGTCTAGGGGAGAATCTATTGCCTTGTTTTTCATTGCATTTAAAACTAAATCAGTTGATTTCACAACAGTAAGACAGAAAAGAAAGTCAGAAAATATACACTGCTTATTGGTAGCTTCAAGAAACCATCAGTGTTTACCTTACAGTGTCTTTTCTTGTTCTTTTGTACCCAATGACATCTCTATCCTATCAGATGAAATATCTGAGGTTGAGTGGGAGCCAGGGAAGCTGGTGGGGAAGGAAATGGGGACCACAGGTGAAAGCAGCATGCCTCTCTGGTTTTCGGTGGGGGAGATATAATAGAGAGTATTAGACTAGAAATCAACCACTTTGTAACATGGCCTAGGTTAACAGTAACAAGGTGTGAAACCTTAGATAAATGACTTAATTTTGCTGAATCTCAGGTTTTTAAAAACTTGTTTAAGGTGTTTAATAAAGATACAAATATTTAATTTGGAGTTAGAGCTATTCTTTTTACCCATAATATTTCCTTGGATGATAAAATGCACTTTTTTTTATGAATTGCACAGCTTGAAAAGGTAATTATACGGTATTGCTAGGCAAACACTCAGTTGAATATGCTGGTACCTTCTGAACTTCAGTACAAATCTAAAAATACTGCTAAGTAATACCACATCCTATCTGGTATTAAAAATTTCTCACTTTAAAACTTTTCAAAGAACAGTAAAAGGAGCAGATACTAAAATTTTTCTGCTTTTTTCTGTGTATAAGTAAATCATATTTTGAGACTAAAAAAATTCAAGCTCCTATCATATCACCTACGTGGAAAATTCTTTAGTTAAATAAGTACTTTTAAGGGAGAAAAACAGAGCTTTGTGTAATGTTTCATAATGTTTTTATAATGTCAACAAAAAACGTTTTACTGGAGTTATACAAAACAAAGTATTAAAAGTACATAAAAAGATGTAATATAATGTGTTTTAATTCTAGTCTTAAAGCAATTCCTAATCTCCTTAGGGAAATTTAGTCTTTCTCTATATACTTTTAACTATTGAGAAAAATAAAAACAAAGAAACTAATTTATGGTTTTCCCAAAATATTTTTATGGTTAAAATCTGTACAAATAGATATACTTATATAAGATATATACTTTAACAAAAATCAATCGTCTTTCATATATAATTGCAAAGAATTAAGATCATTTAACTTTAGGACTGTAAGTAAGCATTAAATTAAATGCACTCAGTCAGATTTTTGGCATATTATATAACATTCCTTATACCACATATTTATAAGATCTAAAGGATTATAAGCATATTATACATAATTAAGTCCAATATAAATTGTTTCAGGTTATAAAATGTCCTATTTATGTCCTTGGTGAGGGTGAACAAAAAAGAAAAGGCTTCTTCTTTAGCCCTTAAGCTTATGACACAATTTCCACGCTGGTAATTCCTTTCATCCTCTGAAGGAATCTCTATTTGATGATAACATTATTGGCTTTCAGCTTGGAATTTCTCTACAGAGATTGTCTATTGACAGTGCCAAAGAATTACCTCACTGTCCATAGAATAGCAGCCTCCACCCAGTTGAAAGCTGCACATTGTTTCCACTTTACCATTGATACTTCCCTCTGATGGCACCCAGCGCATGACCATTAGCAGGAGTGATGCCCCAGTTGTCCCCAGACTTTGGTCAAGTTAATAAGATTTCCACTCCTATGAGGATCTAATGCCACTGCTGATCTGACAGGAGGCAGAGCTCAGGTAGTATGTAGGGCTGTGGAGGCCCCACAGGGTCATGGAGTGTCCTTTATGCTGTGTTGAGGTGCAGGATCCGAGAGGTAAAGAGACAGGACACTGAAGAACAGGTGAAGAGCATTTGGACTCTGGGGCCACACCACCTGTGAGCAGAGATCAGCGGCGGCCCCCAAATGCCCCAGAGCATCTGTATTTATTAGGTACAAGCAGGGGGCAGGGTCATGAGTGAGGTCATCATCTACAGGCTTAATAATAGGGCATACATAATCACGTGAGTTACAAGCGAGGGGACCACTCCATTATGTCACCTGGGCAGAGAGGTGTGCCGTGTGCAGAAGTAGAGGGTCATGTACAGAAAAGGGGTCCACCCTCGTTAGGTCACCGAGGCAAGAACGGGGCTGTGTGCAACAGGTGTTGTGTGCAACACTTCTTATCTGGGTGCTGGAGAATTCAAAGGATTTCTAATGAGAGCTGACAGACTTGTGTTCTTAAGATATTTATGGGAGGATTCTTTGAGCTAGCAGAGAAGCGAGAAAATACTGACAGGATGTACAGCAGCTGTGAGTGGTCACACCAGAGGGGGTTCCTCTCCCTCGGTTACTTCCAGGATCTCAGGCCTGAGGCCCACTTTCCACAGGAACTGGATACAAGGTACTACAACTCCTTAATCAGGATGAGAAGCACTTGCTCCAAGCCTGCCATACAGCGTATGCCTTTTCAGGCAGGGATGCCACTGCCTGGATCTTTGGTTCTCGTCTTGGTCTGGCTGTTTTCCCATGTACTGCTTCTGTTCTGCGACTGCTCTAGGCATTACTCCTACTACAAACTACTTACTATATGGTTATATAGAAGGATTATATAAATCAGCACTAAATGTGTCAGTACAGTTCCAACTACAATACCTATATGATTATATAGAAAAATTACATAGGACTAAGTATGCTAGCTCTATGTAAGCAGTAAGTTACACTTCAAGCACTAATTCTATAAACTAATATATGATTATACATGAAGGATTATATAAAGGAAACAGCTGAGCAATAACACTATAAACTAAGATATTCTTCAGGGACTAGTTGCGCCTGGGGTCTGGACAGTTCTTCTTCGGTGCCCATGGGGGGTGTTACCCACAGTGGCAATGCTCTCTTACCTGCTGCTCACCTCCTGCTGTGCGGCAGGATTCCTAAAAGGCCACAGACCGGAACCAGTCTATGACCCGAGGGTTGGAAACTTCTGCTCTAGGTAACAAAATACCCTGAGACAAATATGAGAAATTAGACAGATGGCATTGAGATGCAAGAGAAAGCATCTCCTGATGAAACCATCCCAATATCAAGCATAAATGAAGGCAGTGATTCATTGCCTCTTATATAGCTTATTATCTCTTAAAGGAAGCAATAATCATTTAAACTACAGGATTATTGAGATGTACATTTTACCAGATACCAGCATCATAATCTTAAAGCTGTATATGAAAGTTTGAAAAAATAATTATAAAGTTTATTTAAATGTCGATTGTCCCAAGTTCTGTAGTTTCTTGTTCCGTTGTGTCATCATGGACAAAGAGTCAAAAAAGGAAGCTCCCACATTTAGCACTTTAGAGTAAGACACATGGATCGTCACAAATAACATTCCTCTGGACATACTGGAGCTCATGGTGAAGTCTTCTGTTTTCAGCTTCGAATGTTGCTCTGAGCCGTGCAGCTTGTTCCTAAAGTGTGATAAATAGAAAGTAAGATCAAACATCTTCTGATTGCCTAAATCACTCACTTGTCCTTACTTCTTTTCATCTACTGTAGCAATAAACAGTTCCTGAATATCTCTCTTCCGTCCAAGTTCATCTAACCTATTTCTGTAATTATTCACCCCCCTCATCTTTCTCTAGAAATTCCAAAACTGTCATTTCTTACCCCTGAAATATTGGTATCCCTAGGATTGCATACCAAAGCTTCTTCTCCCTTAAACCACACAATTTCCTTGGGCAATCTTAGTCATAACTTGACTTGAATTCTCATTCACACGTAGGAGAATGTTAGCTATATTTCTAAGAGAAGAGGTTGAAACAAAAATATTGTATCTAAATGACATGGAATCAGGTGGGCTTTCTAATTCTTAGATGAGACAGTTTGTTCAGATCACCACAGTTTTGGAAGCAGAAGTAGGAGAAAAGAGTGAAGACACAAATAACCACGTGTTGCTCATACTGCTCTTTCGGAAGGAGCTACAATCAGAAATATTTTAGAGTAACTTCTGAAGAACTAGTACCCACAGACTGGCAAGCCAAGAAGAAGTAGGATGTCATTTGTCTCATTGGGGTGCTGACACAGGAATTTCACAGTAGGTGTGCAGAAGTAAAAACATTGCAGATTCTACTCATATGGAAGGCAGTTTTGTTAATGTATGAGGCTTGTGTGATGTTGGCAGTTATTATCTCTTTAAAATACCATTTATCTTATCAGAAAATGAGGACGCAATAGTTCTGCTTTACAGTGAATGAATTAGATGACATCATACATGTAAAGTGCTATGACAACAACTGATAAATAAGAACTATTGGAGAATGTTTGGTAACTACTGACAGTGACTGGTAAATAAAACTAAAGAACTAGATGAAACAAACTGGCAGATTAAAGGCCTTCAGAAAGGAGATGATCCAGGCAAGAACAGGGTCATAGACACCATAACATGAAATCAAATTAAAAAAGTATGTATGACCAAAGCAAAAGATTGTTCAGGGCAATTAACACGTTAACGGGAGAGACCAATCACTGCAGCCTAGAAATGCCTTGGTTTTTATTGAACAACATACAGTGCTTACTCTGTACCAGGAACCATTTAAACACAAATATTAATTCATTTCATTATCAAAATGACCCTACATAGATATCATCACTGTCTCCATTTTACAGGGAAATGAGACACAGAGGGCATAGATAACTTTCCTAAACCATATAGTTGCTAAGAGGTGGAGCTTGGATTCATACACAGGCATTCTGGCTCCAGACTCCTTGCTGAGAGCCACAGTAGCATGCTGCCTCTCCCTTTCCCACTGCTTCATACTCTCATGATTACAGGGAGGGGAGAGATGAAACAATTGATGAATACCTGCATCCGTTGTTCCTCCCTCCTCTGTAGCTCTGCCAGCCAATTTTGTCTGTCTCTCTCCATTTGTCTCACTTGTTCCTGATGGACTCTAACCTGCTCCTGCATCATTTGCTGGATCCGTCTTTGAATCTCCTCCAACCTTCTTGCGTTAGCCTTTGCAGCCTCTGCTTTCACTTGTTCCTCTGAGGAGAAAAAGATAAACTTCTCTAGGATTAATGTGCCCCTTCCTTCTGCCTCCCACTTTTATTTGTGATTGTTCCAGCTTCCTGGAGAAAATTCCCAGTTGTTGTTTTTCCTTTCCAGGTAACCACAATGCAGGATCACACCACAGTCAGATATGGCCTGAGGAGCTAAGAAATATCTTTGCCATTCTTGTGCTAGTTTAAGATCCTATGAGGGACAGGCTAAATTAATTTCAAATTTATAGAGGTTTTTTTTATCTCGCATCATTTCCACTTTCTTCTCACCTTTCATCGTTTTTTCCTTCTCCGTGAGAGCCTGGTCGGCTTGTAATATTGCATCACTCACAGACTTCTTGGACTTTAAATATTTCTGTAGAATTTCTTCAGCCTAGCAACGCCAAACACATGCAGTTAGAAGCAGGAAATGGTGACTAGGAACGTCGTAAACATCTTTACGTCTTGTTCTTTCCAGGGGCTTGTGGAACACCCTCTCCTGTCACAAGTTTGGGCATGACCCCATGGTCAGTCAGAGCATGTAAGTGCACTAGACACAAAGGACTTGTTCACAGGTAGAAAAACACCGCAAACAGTATGAAAATTGATGATGCTTGTGCTTGAAAGACTGATTTATGCTGGGAAAAAGACACTCTCTTTCCCCTGAGACTGAGGGCAGTAAGGACTAGTTAAGCTTGGACCTGTTGGTGTCATCTTTATTGTCATGTGGGGTGAGCCTGCCTGGAAATAAAGCCAATTAAGTCAGGAAAAGGAAACAAAAATGACAGAAAGAAGGAAGGAGGAAATGAATATTATTATTTAAACTCCTGAATGTATTTATACTTGAAACTAAACTAAAATATTTAAATATTTTGTTTTTAGTTTGTGTAAGCCAATGGTGTTTCTTTTTTTTTTTTTTTTTTTTTTGAGACAAAGTTTCGCTCTTGTTACCCAGGCTGTAGTGCAATGGCGCGATCTCGGCTCACTGCAACCTCCGCCTCCTGGGTTCAGGCAATTCTCCTGCCTCAGCCTCCTGAGTAGCTGGGATTACAGGCACGCGCCACCATGCCCAGCTAATTTTTTGTATTTTTTAGTAGAGACGGGGTTTCACCATGTCTACCAGGATAGTCTCGATCTGTTGACCTCGTGATCCACCCGCCTCGGCCTCCCAAAGTGCTGGATTACAGGCTTGAGCCACCGTGCCCAGCCCCGCCAATGGTGTTTCTTAAGTTAGTTTCAAGTATTGGGATTCTGCCCAATATGAACATAAAGGCCTCTTTGTTCCAATGAATGTTGATACTCACAAAACAAGTCTGGTGATTATGGTGATGGTTCAGTTTAATCCCACTGCTACCATTAGAGTGTAAATTCTGTGCTAAAAGCACCAACACTGGGCACATTGTTTTTCCCTGAATGCTTATTCAATAAAACGGTTACTGCTAGGGAGAGACATAAACCTCATCTGTGTGCCTGTATACATGGCATGTTTCCTGTTCTCACTGTTTTTTTCTAAGAAGTCCCTCAGGAATTCTCCACAATTAATAGGTAGAACCAGGGATACCTGTATTCCTTTCCTAGGCTCCTGATAGTACTTTGCCTTCAGCTCTTCCATTTTCTGAATGAAGAGATTATGGCCTCCTGGTTTAGAATAAATTCCCTGCTTCACTGCTTCTTCTAGAGGACCAAAAATATCCTTAAGTAAAGCAGAGCAGCGATCCGAGGATGCTTCCAAGTTCTGTTTACAAATGTCATTCCGCTTTGCATCTAGTAGAGTCTTCAAAGAGATTAAAAACCCATGGAAAAGATGTTAGCAATACTTCAGTATTTCTGGAAATAATTCTCAAAAAGAATCTATATTTTTTTTCTAGAAACCTAGAGGAAGACACATTTAAGCAAGACTATATCCTTCCCACCAAACCTGGAAAAAGTCCAAGGATGATACTCCATAGAAAAATAACATTTATTTTGGTTTTGAATCTCTTGTTATTTCTGCTTTAGGTGTAATCTTCATGCCACAGACCTCTAGCTTCATGTTTTAATTTTAAATTCAGCCTACAACATTTCTTTTCCTTTTTTCTTTTTTTTTTTTTTTTATTTGAGATGGAGTTTCTCTCTTGTTACCCAGGCTGGAGTGCAATGGCTCAATCTCGGCTCACCGCAACCTCCGCCTCCTGGGTTCAAGCAATTCTCCTGCCTCAGCCTCCCGAGTAGCTGGGACTACAGGCGTGTGCCACCATGCCCAGGTAATTTTTGTATTTTTAGTAGAGACGGGGTTTCACCTTGTTGACCAGGACAGTCTCGATCTCTTGACCTCGTGATCCACCCGCTTCGGCCTCCCAAAATGCTGGGATTATAGGCGTGAGCCACCGCACCCAGCCAACATTTCTTTTATTATTTCAGTGTTTTACGTGGGATTTCCAATGGAAATTTAATACTTTATAAATGCAATTGTTTAAAGGCAGAAAATTAATTAAAATTTAGTCCATGGCTATAACATGGTAAATGTGTGCATATGTGAAAACTTCAGAACCTACAAAGCCCAGAGTAGTTACATATTTGTTTTTGGAATAAAAGTGGTATCATGGCTATATATTGATTATTGGTTTCCAATCTAGTATAAATTTCTTTTCTTAACTAAGTTCTGTTTTATCATTCATAGCAGTACTTTGTCTTCTATTGACCATAATCCCTATGAACTAAAAACAAAAATATTACCTCCAATTCTTTCTGGAAACTTTGGTCTACATCCTTGAAAGAGTTTTTAATGAAGACTTCAATGGCCTCCCTCTCACTGGCCCTGTGCAGGTCCAGCAGCTCCTGGAGAGTTTCCGTGGGCAGCTGCACCTTCTGGCCCATCTGCTGGTCATAGTGAGCAATGGCCTTTTGCACTGTGGCTGAGTTCTCCATCTGGGCCAAGGCCAGGACTGTGTTCTCTATGCAAGGCAGATCCCCACTGCTGATGCCATTGACATAGGTCAGCACCAAGTTCTTCAGACCTCCATGGAAGAAAGAAATGTTTATATGATTTGCAAAGCAAGAAAATATGATCAATATAGCAATTTCTGAGAATATACATTTAATAGTTACATTGTCTGAAACTTTTTAGCATTATAGACAGTAGTCAAGTTGCCCAAATAAGTTTATTTGGAAAATTGTGTATCAAGAAGCCACGTTTTTCATTCTTTGGGAAAGAAACTGTGTTCAAACAAGAAAAGAGGAAATTTTAAGATGTTTGTGATTGTCCACATTTCATCCTTCTCTGATGGAGAAATGAGAAGATGATCATATAAAAGTCAAGCATATTCATTTGAATGTACTTAATATAATGCTATAGACTTCTGTCCCTTTCTTTCTGTCCCAATCTTGCCCTTTTCTTTCCTCAGCTTTCTGTTCTCTTCAGAATTCTTTTTTTCTATTTTACTTTAGTATAATTAAGCTAGGAGGAGAGCTACCTTCTCTGAAAAAGTAGGAAGTAAGCAATTTAAACCAGGTTTCTCTTAATGTTTATTTGAACTTTCCTGTTTTATATCTTTGTCATTTCACGCTTTCTTTTCCACTCAGCTTACTCCTATAATGTAGCAATTACTTGCAGAGTTCTGAGACATAGAGTTCTTAAGGAAAACTAGACTCAGAAGTCTGCTTACATTTCTTTTAGGGTTCTAGACAATTTGGGCCTTTGTTTAAAGTTTGTATCAATGAAGTTTCACTTATACAGTGTATACATGGTATTGTACACAAAAAAACATGTATGTCTTGCTCATCTTGTGCCTATCAAAGACTGTGACACATAATAAAAATGCAATATAGTTGTCAAACAAATGCTGCCAGCCTGTGTGGATTAATCCAGTTCAGTAGATCTTTAATTTTATCTTATCTTCAGGTTTTGTTTCTATTTTATGTAACTTTAAAGGTATTACTACAAAAAACACACATTAGTAATGTGTTATACTCACAGAAACTTAATAAATATGATACATATGATTTTCACAGTAGCAATTCCTATTGACACTACAAGGATAATCTTATTAAAAGTGTCCATTATCGTTTACATTAAATTGAAGGAAAATCCTAAAAATTCTACTCACGAGATCCATTGACTTTGATGCCACCTGGAAGAGTCTTGGTCATAGAATGGCTGAAGATGTAGGAACAGAATTCTGCCACTTGTTGCACAAATTCAGGCTCTAGCTCATCATCAGGCAGTGTTTCAAGTTGGGCAAGCTTCTTTTGGTGAGCAGGTAAGTCAAAGATAAAGCATTTCTTTTTTGGAAAGAACTTCTGTATACACAGACGGGGCAAATTGAAATTTTGAACTCTTTGATCACTACCTGGAGAATAAAAAATAGGATTTATTTAGCATAGAATTTACATTCATTTTCACTTATTTACCTCAAATAAATGTCCTTTCGCCTGATGTCACCCAGATTAATATATCTTCATAAATCTTAAGAAAAAGAAAAAAGGTAACTAATCAAGGAAAGTCACAAAGAAAAGAAATTTTTTCTAAGAATTAGGCAGTAATGCAGCTTAATATTGAACCTACTTGTTCATTGTAAATTAATAATGTTCATTATTCACTTTGTAGGAGAGCTAGGTGAACATATATAGAAATCCATAAATTTAACCACCTAAACAAAAGAGATAATTTCTTAGAATACTTTTTTATAAATCTTTCCAAAATTGAAGTTCCTGTTACCTTGCTTTGGCCTCAGTGAATTCTCCAGATATGCATCTGCTGTGATGAGTTGCCCATCTATTTCCAGGCCTAAGCAGAAATCTCTCAGAGTCCACACCAAGTCTGGAAAGAAGCTCTCAGAGTCAGCAGCATCTTCAACCCCATCAAGGTCAGGTGAGGTTCTTGCCTTGAGCAGATCTGTCAGTTCCGTCACATTGCTGAGATGCAATTAAAGAAAACTGGCAGAAATCGGACTGTATCCAAACCCATACTTAATTCCATGTCTCCCCATTCCTTTATTTTCCCTATGAGTCTTAACCAAATTATCATTTTGTCAGTAAATATATGGACTCCTTTCTTTGTACTTTCAATGTTTATCATGTTTCAATTTTTGTGATTCACAAGTTCTCACAGACACGCATCTGGTAAAGAGAAGAGTTTTGTCGGACTTTGATGCCACCCTGTACCACAGAAGGATACTGCAGTAGGTCTATAGCTCCTTGATCGATTTTGTTCATGGTATTGTACACAAAAGTGCTGCTCAGTAAGAGTGCCAGTGCAAAGATATGGATATCATTCTTGTTGTCAGCCTAGAAGTTAGACCAAATCTAAGTCATGTCTCATGGGACTCCCAGAAGTGCAATATTTAAAAATAAGCTCTTGGTGTATAAAGCCTTTTTTTTTTTTTTTAGAACAAGACAAATAAAGACTGTTAGAAATACTAACTTTGGATAGTTCTCTTATTAACACTGACAATTTTATACTGATCAATATCTTATTTACTTACCAGTTCCTCTTATAGCTACTGTTAAATATTTGCAAAAGGGATAAAGTTGGTGGGGTGATCAGAGTACTTAAAACCGAGGTTTTCCAACACATAAAACAAAATTGGCCTATATACACAGTACATATACCTATTTTATTGAATAGTATCAATAATGTAGTTCACATTAATGATCTTATCAGATTCTAACAAAATGCTGTGAGGTGGGTTTATAGTTACTGTCTCCATTTTGTAGGTAAGGAAACTGAGGCTTAAATTGTGGCTTATCATGTTTGAGTCTTGACAAATCAAAAACAAAGAGAAAAAAACACAAGAAAACAATGGAAGTTCAAGAGAAAGATTCAGGTGTGCGCTGGAGCCACCTCATAGCAACTCATGACAGCCAGATGTGTACACGTCTTCCCAATTCTGAGTTTAGTGAATTCACTTTGGTAGCTTGAAATCAATTATGATGGGAGTATTCAGAAAATAGTCAGGTGCTACAGATCATGGTTGTTTTTGTTTTTTTTTGTCAGTGAGCTGGTTGTTAAGTACTTACCAGCATATAACTAGGAAAGGCCCATGTACCTACTGTTTTTAAGTAATGAGTTGAATAAGAAAGACCAAAGAGAAAATAGGACATTTGGAGAGAGTTACTTCTCTCATTAAAGTCAGAAAGCTACAAGTGCTAGAGCTTTGACTGGAACACAAGTTCATTTAAGAATAGCACCAACTATTAACTAGTATAATCACAGGATCAGGTTTGTAACAGTGATTTTATCTGCACCATCTTTCTGAATTTGAGTTAACTGCCTAGCTTAACATCAACACAGTTCTGATTCTGGCTTATAAATGTATTTTCTTACTTCAGGCTTCCAAACTCTGACTATTAAAAATACAAAGTAAAACAGTGGGGGATATACATTGGTCAAGTGGAGCAACACATTTACAAAAATAAACCCAAAATCTCCCTGTGGAAAGACTGTTCAGAGATTAGGAGGTTTAAAAAGGAATTCTTTTTCCTTACCTTTTCTACGTCTCCCAGGCCTTCAGTGTCAAGCAGAACTAATGTGTGATTTGGCCTGTTGGGATGAGGCACACACCATATCCAGATTCCCTTGGTATGAGACTGCACCGTAGATGCAACAGAGAAGCCTGCCAGGGAGAGAAACCGGAAATTGGGGATTTGCTTGATGATTCAGCTAGAGTTTAAGGAAAGCAAGATGAGATAGCAGAAAGTACACCCAGTATTGAGTTGAATGATGATATAGAAATGGAACAATAATATCAAATACCATAGGTTGGAACTTTGATATTTAAATTAAAAATATGACACTATAGAATGCTGCTAGTTTATAATTTTGTATATGGAAATTATTCATTGATGTCTTACTCCTTACAAGGAGAACATATTATATATTTTACAGGAAGAAATTAAGGCCACGAAAAAAAAAGGTGATTTGTCAGGAACAGAGAACTGCCCTTCATCTTTCAGAAGATAAAAAGACCAGCTGTGGCCTAAATATTGGTTTTAAATACTCATCCTCATGTCTTACTTTCTCTCCTCACTTTCCTGTACTGGATGGTGACTGTGTGAATGGACAGAAGGGTTTGGCAGAGCTTTTCTGGTGCCACTCACCCTTGTTCTTCCCAGACAGCCTGTTCAACAGGTAGGATTTGCCAGTGCGATAGAGGCCTACAATCGCCACGACCACTACAGGCTGCATAATGGCAGACAGGATCTCCAAAGCTTCCTGATTAACCTTCAGATGCTCATTAATGTTCTCGATGAGGCACACAGGGTCTGACATGTGGATCTCTGAAGCCATGTCTAGGATGTTACTTTTCCTGCAACAGAACGGATGGGATGGGCTGGAATTTCTAGTGTTTGCTTAATAAGCAAAGAAAGTCATTTTACTTACTGAACCCAGGGACATACTACTCCCCAGCATTGCCTACGTTTCTGAAATAAATTGTTTAAAAATAAAAAGAGATAGCAAAGAGAGCCACAGTAAACTAAGTCCTAGGCCTTTTATAGGTCTATAGTAGACCTATGGCTACCCTACTTGTTCTTAAGTATTTGATAGGCATACAAAAATCCATTTCCTGTATCTAACCAACTAGTTTGAACTAACTCATATTCCACTGGTTTTTGGTTTACTTACGTTTTTTAGTTTTTACCACCCTGGGTCCCTATATTAATTCTTTATGACATTATTTATATATTACATTGTTCCTTTGACTTTATATCAACTTTGTTTTTTTCTTAGTTAGGTCTATGTCCAGTCAAACTGCATTACATTAAATAATACCAAGTCATTATGCAGCATTATCTAAGAAATCACAGTTGTTTGCTTCTTAGAGATATGCTTAAATTTTTACATAGTTATTAATGTGCTTTATTAAACCAAAACTTTAATGAATGATTATTTTATGATTGATTGAACGAATAAAACTTCTTTAACAATACCTAATCTGTTTTTTTCTAACTTCTGAGCATCAATCCCTATAACCTGAAGAATATGAAAATTTCTGAATTTTTTTTAAAAATTAAGCTATATGAGAAAAAACAAATGCCATAAAAATGTGTTTTTCTACTTTGCCTTTGCCGAGACCAGCTCTGTCACAGAGACCCCAAACCAGGCAGCACTGAAAGAATTAAGAAACCGACACAGAGGTAGAGAGCAAAAAGCTATGGGACAGATGGGGCCTCAGCATTCCCAGCTGAGAGCCTCGGAACAGAGCCTGACCCACACATTTATTGACAGCAAACAAGTGATAATCATCATTTAACCAAAAACATTCTTCAAAGGGAACAAAGCATTTTTGAGTGGCAAGAAACAGGCTCTGGCTCACTTACCTACTGCAGCTGGAATTTATCATTAAGGCACCTGTCGTTCATGCTATTGTTGGTGGTTCAGAAGCCTCCCAGCCGTCTTCCGCCAAAGGGTGGGCGAGTCAGGTCTTTCTTCCCCCGGCTCCGGTAAACCAACAACCTCTAGCAATATGCGGCACTGCCATCACGAGTATGTCACAGTGCTATACATATCCTGTTTACCGCCAGTTTCTTTAAGGCCTGTTACGTCAGGCTTAAAGCCTGCTCTCAAATGCTCCCAACAGCCTTATTATAGTTTCCTTCCATTGTAAAGGTGTTTATTTACTAAAGAAGCTAAAAACTTCACCATCTGTTTGACCCGTTCTTTCACTAAAATCTTAGAATGAAAAGGTCTGGATTCTCAATTTCTTTACTGGCAGATTGTAAACTGTCATTGTTCAATTATAAAGACCCATTCTCCCTGCTTCCTCATAGCTAATGCCGGGCAAATCATTATATTGACACACACATTAAAACAGAAACTGCTTGGCAGCAGATAATAGGAGATCCATTTGCAAATGGTGTAGCACTAGGACATGGGAGTCAGAAAATGCCTAGTGCTAGCTTGATCCAGAAAGAGGCAATTCTGCAATAATTTTAGACTCAAATGCCAACTCTTTTCTCATCCTAATCCACTTTCAGTGCACTATCCGTACCTTATATTTGTAGAATTCTGGTTGCCTGATTTGCATGCAGCAGAGGCCAGAATAATTTTTACACTAGAAAGATATGGGCACCTTGCAGTGATAATCTACAGCAATTAGCTAGAAAAACAGAAGATACATAAGCCAGATCTGTAAGCAGACATTGAGAGCTTACAAGATCTTATGCTTTGGGATGATGTCACTAGTGGGAAAGGGAATAAATTTGAGTGTTCAGACCTCCTTAGGAATGACAATGGCACTGGATATCTATATTAATAATAATAATAGTATTTTACATGCTGTACCCTAATGTTTTCTGGATAGCATCTTTAATGCTTTTAGTAAAGCCAAATTTCTAAAACATTATTGCAGATTTAATGTGTTCAAGCCACAAACATAACTGTTGCTCTGTCATTCATAACTTAGCCTGCGATGAGTGCTCTGGGATGCATTCTCCCTGTTTGAGTCCTATAACCTTTTGCAAATAAACACAATGCAAGAATGGTTCAGATTACATGCACAAAATGCACATTTTGCCTTTTCAGTAAATAGGGTGTGATTTCCAATGCCAGCCCTACAACTGGCTACCTGTATCTCTCTGGCATTTTACTCAACTCTTTCAGCTTGTTTTCTAAAACAGTAAAAGTAAAGAAACAACTATTTATTAACATCAGTAATAACTGCTGGCTTATAAGAGAGAGAGAGAGAGCAGCAGGAGATTTTTAAAAGTGCAAAGAAGGAAACTGCCAAAAAATAATAAGAGAAAATGCTGAGAAGTGGTAGTGGATTTCTGAAAGAAAATATATGTTTTCAACCATACAATTATAGTTTGGGCTTTGTGCCTGCATATGTATATGTAGTTGTTGTTGCTGACTTTTGCTTATTTTGCATCATTTTTGGTTTGAATTTGGATGAAAAAGAGAAGGCTCTAAGGATACAAATGGAAATCAAACAAGTACAAAGTGCTTGAAGTATGTGTCATGGTAAAAAATTCAAAGGAGAGAATTTCAAGGAGTGAACAAAGTTGCCAGACAGTATTGAGGGGTCCGTCCAGTGGGCAACTGTTAAATTAGGTGATTTATAGTTGTATAGGCAAGAGAGTAGTAGAAACAGAACCCAACACAAAAGGGGTTAGTTAAGTGAGTAGATGCCAAGAAGCCAACATGAATTAAGTCGGGGCTATTTTTTTCCTCTTTTTCTTTTTTAACTAAAGTATTATTTTATTTTACTTATATTTATTATTATGCTCTAGGTTCTGGGATACATGTGCAGAACATGTAGGTTTGTTATATAGGTATACACGTCCCATGGTGGTTTGCTGCATCCGTCAACCTGTCATCTACATTAAGTATTTCTCCTAATGCTATCCCTCCCCAAACCCCCACTCCCTGACAGGCCCTGGTGTATGATGTTCACCTTCCTGTGTCCATGTTTTCTCATTTTTCGACTCCCACTTATGAGTGAGAACATGTGGTGTTTGGTTTTCTGTTTCTGTGTTAGTTTGCTGAGAATGATGATTTCCAGCTTTATCCATGTCCCTGCAAAGGACATGCACTCATTTTTTTTATGGCTACATAGTATTCCATGTGGTATATGTGCCACATTTTCTTTATCCAATCTATAATTGACGGGCATTTGGGTTGGTTCCAAATCTTTGCTATTGTGAACAGTGCTGCAATAAACATATGTGTGCATGTGTCTTCAAGATAGAATGATTTATAATCCTTTGGGTATATATCCAGTAATGGGATTGCTGGGTCAAGTAATATTTCTATTTCTAGATCCTTGAGGAATAGCCACACTGTCTTCTACAGTGGTTGAACTAATTTACACTCCCATCAACAGTGTAAAAGCTTTCCTATTTCTCCACATCCTTTCTAGCATCTGTTTTGCTAGACTTTCTAGCAAAACAGTGTAAAAGCTTTCCTATTTCTCCACATCCTTTCTAGCATCTGTTTTGCTAGACTTTCTCCTGACTTTTTAATGATTGCCATTCTAACTGGTGTGAGATGGCATCTCATTGTGGTTTCGATTTGCATTTCTTTAATGACTGTGATGATGAGCATTTTTTCATGTTTGTTGGCTGCGTAAATGTCTTCGTTTGAGAAGTGTCTTTTCATATCCTTTGCTTACTTTTTGATGGACTTGTTTGTTTTTTTCTTGTAAATTAGTTTAAGTTCCTTGTAGATTCTGGATATTAGCTCTTTGTCAGATGGATAAATATTGGGTACCAGCCCCATATCTGGATATGGGTGCACTTAGTCCCTGCAGTGATAAGGGATTGAGAAAAGGAAATAAGAGACACAAGAGCATAATTTACAGCATGGGTCCAGGGGACCAACACAATTGTGGGAAATGCATTGGCCCCAAGCTCTGAGCTCCAAACACTTTTATTATGTGAATAATCTCATTGATCTTATGGGTGTGGAAGGGGAGGGTGAAGGGGTAGGTAAGATGCGAGGGTGGGAAGGATAGCACTTGAGATCCTTCTAAGACATGCTAAACTAGTACTCTGAGTTTATCACCTTATCATGGTGCATCAGAAGTATATTTGATGAGGACCCACAGGTTTGACTACACCCAATGCATCAAAGGGCTTTTATTTCCCGAGCATTAAGGACATAGAGCAATTAAAATCACTCCACATTCTGAGAACCCAGGCAGAGCCTGAGGTGTTTGTGATCTCTTCCCTGCAAGGCTTTTCTCCTCCTTGCCAGCTCCTATCTGCAAAGATCCTCCCAGATCTTGTGAGTTGAGGTTGCCTCCCTTCTCAGAGATCTTTGCATAAGCCCTCTTTATAAGACCCTCATTCAGTTTCCATGTTGAAAAGGCATTCATAGGACCAGAGCAGTATTGTCTGCTCTGCAACCACCCCAAGATGTTCCTTGGTGTTACTGTGCTCTTGGATGGTCTTTACCTTAGGCTTCCTGTTGCCACTTGATTTCTAATTAACTGCACCAATAACATAGTTTAGTTTGGTGTATAAACTTCAGTGTACTCTGAGCCAAGCAAGCTTATAATTATTTAGCTAGAATTAACATAGGTCTCCCCCTGGCCATTTTGACCCACAGATAAATAGCAAAAATTTTCTCGCGTTCTATAGGATGCCTGTTCACTCTGATAACAGTTCCTTTAGTTGTGCAGAAGCTCTTTAATCAGATCCCATTTGTCAATTTTGGCTTTTGTTGCCATTGCTTTTGGTGTTTTAGTCATGAAGTCATTGCCATGCCTATTTTTTTTTGTTTTGTTTTGTTTTAGGTCTTATGTTTAAGTCTTGAATTCATCTTGAGTTAATTTTGTATAAGGTGTATGGAAGGAGTTCAGTTTTAGTTTTCTGCATATGAGTAGCCAGTTTTGTCAAAGATCAGATGGTTGTAGATGTGTGGCATTATTTCTGAGGCCTCTGCTCTGTTCCATTGGTTTATATATCTGTTTTGGTATAGTACCATGCTGTTTTGGTTACTGTAGCCTTGCAGTATAGTTTGAAGTCAGGTAGTGTGTTGTCTCCAGCTTTTTTTTTTTTTCTTAGGACTGTCTTGGCTATATGAGCTCCTTTTTGGTTCCATATGAAATTTAAAGTAGTTTTTTCTAATTATGTTTGGAAAATCAATGGTAGTTTGATGAGGATAGCACTGAATCTATAAATTACTTTGGGCAGTATTGCCATATTCACAATACTGATTCTTCCTATCCAAGAGCATGGAATGTTTTTCCATTTGTTTGTGTCTTCTCTGATTTCCTTGAGCAGTAGTTTGTAGTTCTCCTTGAAGAGGTCCTTCACATCCCTTGTAAGTTGTATTCTTATATATCTTATTCTCTTGGTAGCAATTGTGAATGGGAGTTCACTCATGATTTGACTCTATTTGTTGGTATACAGGAATGCTTGTAATTTCTGAACATCAATTTTGTATCCTGAGACTATGCTGTAGTTGCTTATCAGCTTAAAGAGATTTTGGGCTGAGACTATGTGGTTTTTTAAATATACAATCATGTCATCTATAAACAGACAATTTGACTTCCTCTCTTCATATTTGAATATGCTTTATTTCTTTCTCTTGCCGGATTGTCTCTCAGACAACAGTGCAATCAGATTGGATCCTAGGATTAAGAAACTCACTCAGAACCGTACAACTACATGGAAAATGAACAACCTGCTCCTGAATGACTACCGGGTAAATAACAAAAGTAAGGTAGAAATAAAGAAGTTCAGGGCCGGGAGCGGTGGCTCACGCCTGTAATCCCAACACTTTGGGAGGCCGAGGTGGGTGGATCACGAGGTCAAGAGATCAAGACCATCCTGGTCAACATGGTGAAACCCCGTCTCTACTACAAATACAAAAAATTAGCTGGGCATGGTGGCGCGTGCCTGTAATCCCACCTACTCGGGAGGCTGAGGCAGGAGAATTGCCTGAACCCAGGAGGCGGAGGTTGCGGTGAGCCGAGATCGCACCATTGCACTCCAGCCTGGGTTACAAGAAC